ACTACCTAAAAGATGGTTGTGGCTGAATCACTAAGTACACATACATCTACCAATATCCCTTATATTTTTTATAGGTACTTATATCATCATGTCTTTTATCATAACGACACAGAATATCATGAACCCATTCACGAACTTATCACACTATGAAGTAATTTAAACATTATCAAAACATTTCTTGTTTCATATTTATCATTATAAATTCATAATATTATTACAGATTTATTTTTCATATTAAACGTGTAGGTTAGTACTTTTATTATGAAAATACAAACTGAAGATGTTGATTAACAACTGCCTAGATGGTTTAGAAAAGTCTAATGGCCTCAATAATGAATACTTCGAAAACGTTTATAAAGATTAGGCAGACATGGAGAACAGAGATTCTGGAAATTATAATTTATTCACAACTTTAATATAAGGCCGACTAAAAATAGTTGATGTAAACTAGATAAAATTCCCGCCTACAGTGAAGGAAAGCGGTTTCATTCGACGGTTGGAAGCCGCGGCTATCAGTGATCCCAAACTTTCTGACAGTTTACTGTGAAGTTTAAGTTCAAGGACTTGTAATTGTGTATTACAGGTGAGCAGTGACTATTTAAACGAAACAAAACTGTGTTCAAGCAAAATATGTGACACGCTAAATATCGCTCATTGAATTCAATAAAACAAATTAATTAGTTTGTTTATTATCAATTAAATGGAACGCCAACGAGACATTCAACATTTAACAAGTGACATTGTTCAATTAAAATCTTTTTGTCTACTGATTGTCTATTTATGTTGATAGCACATGTGCAAATTAATTTACGTCTGCGTCCAATTAATGTACCGGCACATAAATCACTCGTACCAAAGCATGAATCATCGATACTTTACAATTGGTAGGGACTTATACACGTCAATACGATCATCAAACAACATAACCGTGCTTGCTGAAACATTGCAGGTGAGGGCGTCCATTTCCCAGACTCGTGCGCAGGCAGTGGGCGGGCGCCGACCGCGGACTCAGTTAGAGACAGGCATCGACGCCGCTCGCACGAATCTGAACGCCGCACAAGGTATAAACACTAAAAAACCAGCGCTTCTCACTGCTTCATATAACATTTGCACTAATAAAAGCTTACGAATGTCTGTGTATTTTTTTCAACACTAATCACCTGGTGACCTCGACATCCATGACTAACTTCATGAACAAGGTGTTCAGTTACAAAAATAATTCGCCGTGACTTCATGCGACTGAAATAACGCGTTCATGCGATCGTGGTAATATTTTGGCTGCTCACGGGAACATTTTGTTCCTCTCTACGCTGACATGAGTAGGGACTTTTATAATTATATTTCCTAATTAATTGTTTATCAACCAATCGTAAACAATGCCGGATAAAAACAACACAATTTTATGAGCGTCCTAAAATTCGATTTTAATATTTGTGACTCGAATTAGAACGGATCTTATTTTCGTACATCAGACAGTCTGAATTATACGAGTGGATTATTTTGAGCCTTGATGACGGTATTGTTAACCTCGTCCATGCTATAAACATCTCTATTGACCTTAAAACTAGCTGAATATTTTTAATGTTTACTATATCCAAAGGACGGCATTGAAATTTCCAGTAAATTTAATTATTATACTTAACTATAGTGTATGATGGTGAACATTATTGATGACAGTAATAATGATTACATTTCTTGAAACTAAAAAAGCAAACCGGTCAAAATAAACAATTGATATATTAGAAGTATCTATTACATGACTACTAACGTTTAATATTGTAGATAGTTAAAAAGAACCTATAAGTGAAGCTCTTTGTTGAACAACATCTCCAGTTATCTTGAATTATAATTCCGAAAATAAGTGCGCAAATATTTATTACGCATGCGGGCAAGGAGTCCAGAACGAAAATAGACTATACCTCTCGCCGTTCACATTAAATATCGCATCTTGAGCAGCATGGAGATAACAAACTATTTTTCCAACACCTACACACATTCTCAAACAAATTTACATGAGCGAGAGCTATATTGTTTGAAATGCATTCATTTTTCATAGTCTCAATAAACGTATCAAAGTAAGAGTACATATTTTTTCTAAAAAGTCTCTTTGTGTTGTCAGGACGTAGTTTTATGAGAGTAGCGACACAAGCCTTGCACTTTTAAAAGCACAATAAAAATGCTACTTATTCTAGTTTACTTTCTGGACATAAAACTGTGTATAAAATGACAACTGTGTGTTGCAACAGTTTATAAGTTCATAGCAAAATATTACCTTTACAGAAAAAAACTCATTAGTTATTATATATTTATACATCAATGGTTCAAAATTCCGGAGTCGAAATTAATAAAGGCATATGTTAATACAAATAAGTTATGCTTAACAAATATCAAATTGTTATGACATCAAAATCAACACAGTCATCGCTCTGTTAATGCAGAGATTACCGACATAAGATTTGCATGTCAAACGTATCAATACGCTGATTGTAAACGGATGTGCAGATGGAGTGAATTCTCAGCATGCATCAGTAATAAATGGCCCGATATATCTTTGATCTACGCTTAAGCCAATCGCGCTCGCATTTCAACGTGAACTGTTTTGCTTATGTTTTCGTTATGGCTTAAATATAATAATACTACTTGAAAATAATATCAAATGGACATATGTAGTATATGTCTAATTCCCGCCAGTTATGTTATTAGAACCATATCGATCGTGTACTACACATACCTATGTATCTGAACAATTAGAACACCCTTTCTGATTACCAGGAATTGCTCCCAATAATAACTTACTCTAAAATAGAAACAAGAGTTTCTGCTAAACAGTTACGCTTGCCATTAGATTAATGAAGTAATCAATATCATTACGTCAATCTAAATTCTCAGATGCAAATAAATACAAAGGTTTATTTTGCATTACGAATACTTGGTAGTTATTTATAAAAAGATATTTGTTTATTTGTTTTTTTCTTTATTAAATTTCATGCACATACATTATGTGCGTAGGCGGACTACCGGTTTACCTTTGCGCGATGCACTAACAAGAAAAAGATAATCTTGCAAAACTCTACGTGGGTAGTCTAGTAGCACAGACATGGGGTTTTTTTGAGGTGGGAAAATCATCCAATGCCTTCTACCGCCCGAGTGAGGCGAGTGTTAGACTTACTGACTAGAAATCACCCCGTTCCTACTCTTGCACTTCGACCTTGAGCCCCGGCAACCTGTAAAGCCTTCCGCGGCATAGACATGGGGTACTCGATACTATTGTAAAAAAAGAACTAAAAAACAAGTGAACGTTTTTACTAATGTATTCTTTCCGGCCTAAAAATATTACTCGTGCATAAATATAAACTTCAACTACACGCCTACTAATTACTCACAAGTTTCCGGCAGTTTGCGGTAGTGTACACAACATAAGTGGGTATCTAAACTTTGTTTTGTTTCCATTTATGAATGTATCGGTTGTATCAAATTAGAACCACTTGGGATATGAACAACGAATATCGTACTAACAGTGTAACATTCAAACATAGTTAGAGTTTAATAAGATAATGTGTGTGACGTATGATAATTTTATTAAATACTCTGGGTAAACATTGTGTATGCAATAGAAAGAAAGAACTACTATGTAATCTTTACCAAGAAATAATTAAATTATACATCCTGCTACGTCGTAGCTAATTTGTAGAGAAAATGATGAGTATTATCATAACTAAATCAAATATCCAACGTTTCAAAAAAATGTTTACAAAGGAAATTTAAAATATAATGTTGTTTTCCGCGATGCGGTAACATAAAATAGGCTAATTCTAGAGCAGAATGTGACGGTGTTGTGAGGAGTCGCCTTCCGTGTCCATTTCGCAATTACAACGAGACGCTTGTACACAAATAAATACAGTGACGGACGATTCTTTGGTGGACGATATATTATCTGTTTGACTACATTATTCACCGCTAATCACACATTAATTACCTGATAAATAGCTCTTAGAAACCCGACATTGTTGTAAAAACTATAAAGACGAACATTCCAAATACGAGAAGATGTAGTATGTAGATTTCCATTGGTGACTACTTCGTATAAATCAACGATAGAGACACCAAAATCTGTAGTGAGACGTATCGAAAACTTATTCGCACAAAGCTGGCTGTCTGCAGCACATTCTTCGGAAAAAAATATGATAGCCGTCGTTGGCGGTGGCGGGGCTAATAAAAACGCAATAACACGAGGTGCTCCGACGCCAACCCCGAGGCGTGAATCTTCCGAGAGTGTAATAAAATTATCTCATGAGGAGGATAAAATTTGTCATCCTAATTTTTCTGATATGCGTCCTGGGGTAAATAGTCGTATATTCTAGGCTAGCATGCTCCTACGGTTACAAGGGCGTTGTTTTGTCTCATAAACTTTTGTTATAAAGGCCCTTTAAGTAAACACTAAATAGATTAAGTAAACATGTTCTCGATTAATGAAGTTGTTCTCTGAAAATTATGATTAGGATTTTCCCTCCGTCTTCTTAGATAACATTGCTTTCAAAACTAATGTCTTAATTAATAATTAAGTGCTCCAAGATGATTATAATCTAGTTAAATTAAATTATCTGTTTATTAGTTTTATCTATATCTGTTCTTGGGTCATAAACCATAGATGTTTTTGAATGTCTGCATGCATCGTAAATTTTATTATGCTTTTAAAACTGCAGTTAAGAGTTGAAACTGATTCAAAATGCGCAACGATCTAAGTGTGTTGTGTTTTTATCAATTCCTATATACTTTATTAAAGTAATAATACCTAATTATACCTAGATATGTGTGTATGATATATAAGGGAATCCATCAATAAGTTAAGTAAAGGTTTTTAATAACCTTCCGCAAAAAGGTGCACATCATACCTACGTTTTTAGTACAATAGAAGATTTTTGACAACGTTAACCTTCATTGTAGCCAAAATAATAACCAATTGTATCATAACATTCCAGCGCTGAACGAACGACTGAAAGATGGCCACCGGCCCGAAGATAGTGCACAAACAGTTCAACTCGCCCATCGGGCTCTACTCCCAGCAGAACATCAAGGAGACGCTCACCAAGCACATGCAGAACCTTGGCAATGGCACCGTCGGGTCAGTACCAAAATTAATTAACTTTTTACTTACTAATTGCACCAATAAATTGTATACTTTGAGTGACGAGGTAACGAGGTCATCAAAGACAGTCTAAACAAACTAGATTTTTTGAACAGTTAAATGATTGACAATTGAATACTGACTTAATTAATTTGTTTTTAAAATCGGTCAATGTTAAGTCTTTTCTTGATTTTTTTTCATTACCAGCTTGGATCTATAGACCATAATTATAGCTCTAATTTTTTTTTAAATACTACTTACCTAATTACCTGCAATAACTACAACATAATTATACAACACTAAAAACTCAATTCAACATTTTCAACGAATGAATTGAATTATTAACTCAAAGTGATTGAAGTTAACGACAAACTAATTCAAGAAACATAATTGCATTGTCTCCTACGCTTTCACCAAGCTTTTAAATTATATTATTATAATAGGCTAGATATTAACTTGATAAATATAAACTACATATACTAGACATTGAGATAATGTTACTTATAATTCTATTAAGATCTTCGTTACCGTGGCCTTTTCCTAACTATATATATTAGTGTTCTCTTGGCGTTTAATCTACAGCTTTCTGCCTACCCCATCAGTCTATGAAGAATGAAATATTCTACTAGGGCGACTTACTCAACATGGGAATTTTATCTATCACATTGTGACGTGACATTTTTTAAATCATTTATTTAAAAAATCTAGGGTATAGAATAGATATCAAGGTTAAAAACTCACAAATCAATTGAAACAAATTCACATTGTTACTGTTATGTTTGGTCTCAAGTACCAAAGCATTTTATTTCTATAAGTATGTCAATACTTGTCTGAAGAATACGATATTAATTATGATTGATTACTTGTGTCATAATTCGTCTACGTATTAGTCTATTAAGAGCACTTTTGTTACGACATATTGAAGAAGGAGATAAGTACCTACCTACCTACCTACCTTACTATTGAATATTAATATAACTCGATATTACACACCGTAGTTAACGCACCCCTGAATAGACCTTGACATTATTTTCCCAAAACACTAAGAAAATATTTAAGTATATTCATTGAACAAGGGATTTTATTTTCAGGGAAATAAAATATAAAATACCTTTATAATTTTTCCTCGTGTAAATATTCTACGCCCATTCTAAAATGTTTATAACACAGGTCGGTGACTTCGCAGAGTAAAATAATGTTTAAATGTGTATCGTACTACCTAGTTGAGTGACTTTCGCACAATTTTCTTCAGGTTGAATAGGTAGTGCTTTATCTCCAATTTACAGTGATCGGTGGACAGCTGAATACTTACCCACATCCATCACTTGATACAATCTCATCCGTCTCTCTAATAAAATATAAATATCTATTTTAATATTTAGTTTGTATTGGTATAGGTAGCCAGTGAATTCATTTTGACCATAATGGCATTATGTCATACGAACGTAAAACCGAAATAATCCTCGTACAACAGAACGAGGACATGACATCTCTGCGCTCTCATAATGGGTGCTTCCAAAAATAATTTTCCGAGGGCAAGGTCACATTAATATGAATAAAAAGAACGGAGTGTATATAATTAAGGTCCTCTGTCACATATTTTGTAAAGATTCCGGTAATAAATAAAGCGAGAATGTATTGTGATCACCTGTGTACTTGAAAAATAAGGGTTTTGCTGTAGTAAATAATACGCATTAACAGTCAAACAGTGATGAAATGATTTCGTTAAGAAGGGTCCCTGTTTTGGCTTCTGTGTCACCGAATAACAAAAAGTCGATGACTTTTTTATGTAGAATGTCACTTTATTTTGGTAACAATTGTTATTTACGTGAATTGTATTGTTGTTTAAAAGACGAAAACATTTTAAAATGAGACTGACAGTCGAATCTAAAAATAAAGTTTTATCAAAAAGTAAATAAGGTGTAAAATTCTGTAATTGGAATAATGCTGAAAATTCGATTGTTAATCCTGAGATATTGGTTTAAAATACCGTATACAATAAACTTTGGCTTCATAATATTAGATTGGTTAGTGAATTAATGGCTAAGAATGTGTCTGAATGTAAACCGAACCTTGCACTTGCAGGAGGCAGAGTCACAACCTTTCTTACAAATGGACGTAATTAGTGACCAAGTCATTACAGAAATAAAAAACGGAGCATATTGCTTTGTGAAAAATACAAGAAACGATTTACGAGTGAATATTGTTTCATCGGCTCTTGACCGTTTGCCAGACCGATGACGTCTTATTGATACAATTGTCGTGCAATTAGTCAATGAATTATAACAATAGAACGTTGTTGTTTATTTTAGTACAACATATTTTAAAGAATTTACGCATTAAACATAAATAACTAAGTAGACTATATGATAATTTCACCGTATTCGAAAATCGTCTTAATTATCTATGGAATAGTTGCTAGATTCCTTCAATACTAATGATAACATAGCTCTAAACCACGAACTATGAACAAAAAATAAATACTTAACATTATCGCGTCAATTCGGAATGTAGTCTGACTGCACCACCGTTAAAAATAACAGTAGAGAGCTATAAATAAATCGCGTCACAAACGTGTAGGAAACAAAACAAAATGATAGACGTGCCAATAGGCGGTCGATGAGTCACCGTCACCCCTAAACGAATCAATACGAGGAATACGATCACTCCACACGAGCATTAGAGCCCTGTTTCATTAGGACACCATAGTTGCACGGCCACCATAGATTACATTTACCGCGGATTTTGCAATAGCCGGCTCAGGGATAGAGATCAACCAGAAGCACTCTCTCTACTCTATGATTAAACAACATCATTAATTTTACATCGATCCCAATCCAGAAAAATAAATTAAATATGACGGGCTGTTAATGATGATTGGTCGTACAAGCATGTCAATAATTTAATGTATGCAGCTCTATGGAGGATATTTCACCTGGTATCGAATCGGTCGCACAATCCCCGTATCCCAATGAAATAGGGTCCTTATCCGTATTTGGTGAGCGTATGGACCGTGCCGTTACGGTAATAAGATCAAGCTCTCACTGATGCCAGTATTAATGCAACCTGCATTCAGCCAATTTGAATCTCTTATACGGACAATGGAAAACACAATAGCAACATTGCACCTGTAATTATTGAACTTGATACAGGTTTGAGCCCGAAAGTTTGCCACAATTAATTGTAAATGTTTGTATTGTAACTTTCGTGAGATCTACTAAATTAATTATTATGTTTTCATCTTACTAACGTTACTTTTTGACGAAAAACTCGATTAGTAGCATAGAATACTAGCGAGTAGCAGCGCGACAGTCGCCGCGTCGTGTGTCGCGGAATGCTGTTCATGAATATCAGAAGAATTATTATTATAAAAATTGTTACAAATTGAATGAAAATTGTCCGTCTTTTTAGGCTTAAGTCAACTGAAATTAAAATTTATTCAATGATATTTCAGTTGACCAGTAATCCGATGAAAATGCAGATTTCCTTTTCATTTCTTTCCAATTTTAAACCGTCAAACACCAAGCGGTCACCGGTGACCGCGACCTATTGTTCTTTAATTGTGTCTATAAAACCGGTACTCGACGAGTTAAGTTCTAAATACATACTCGTCATCATTAGCATTAGCATAGCACCTACCTATCAGATTTCAGAAAAATAAATATATCAAAGAAGACTTGTCAAACTTGGAAGGGTTTTCTCCGAAGTTAATATTTCCGTAAGTAACACGTAATATGATGAGAACTATGATAACTAATACAGTAGAAGCTGTAGGAGCACATTTAGGTTGAGATCGCGTTACACCTGACACACACACCTCAAGAGCTTCCTAAAATACTCAAGTATTTATAACATGATAGAAATAATATTCTATAGTTGATATTTTATGTGAAAGTAGGTTCTTTTTCAACGATTTTTGCTCCTTGTATTGTATTGAATTTTAAAATCAAGTGATTAACTATGTGTAATAATTACAGTTTCTACTTACTATTTGGTACCTCATTGTTTATCTCGTACATACTTCAATACGATTACGGATTACTTACATGAAGTCTTAAAATACTGCCTCGTTGGCCGAGTGGTCGCAAGTGCGACTGCAAGGGCAAGGGGTCTCGGGTTCGATTCCCGGGTCGGGCAAAGTATTACTGGTTTTTAAAAAAAAATCTCAGTAGTAGCACGGAGTCTGGAAATGTACCCGGTATATGGCAATAGGCTCACCCACTCTTACATGGGACTCATAGCATAAATAGTGAAAAGTGAGTGTTACTGCTGTGTGCACCTCTGCCTACGGGGATAAAAGGCGTGATGTTATGTAAGTCTTAAATACTTGTTGAACAACTATTTGTTGATTATAATTATTGGTCTCTGCTAGTATTCTTTGTTCATCTGTTCTACGATATTAACAATGATTTACAGTTTGTAGTAACAGTTAACATGCCACAGCCGTGTCTTTTATCACGGGCGACAGGCCAAACTGAACGTGCAATTCAAAAACAAACAAAATGATTACATGACGCCACCACCGCCTTAAGGTGAAGAAATCATCTACAGGGCGTTGTTTAAAAAAAAGATTTCTCGAAAATATTTTTCAAGTATCCAATGCCTTAATTTGATTATAGCAATCCTATTTGAGCTTTGTAATCAAATTTCGAATTACTCTTGAGCTTTTGCGCCTTTTTTGTTGTTGATAGTAATTTTGCTTTAAATTCTTTGCCAAAATACTTTTTCAAATTACGAGTGTTTTATAAAATTCTTATCAACTGTTTAGTGTGAACGATTTCAGTAAAAAAGGAACAAAAAATTTTAAGGACTTATCTGTGTATTGTTATCTAGAAAATGGTTTCTCATGAATATTTTAAAATTATTGACAGATTTCCTTTAAATATTATGGACAAAATAGTCGGATTTTCATTTTGTTGTTGTTGACTTGTATCATCTTTGTTATCTGGGTCACCTAAATCTTGAAGGTCATCGCCCTGAGCAGAGCCAGCATCAAT